GCTGCCCAGCCACACTGCCTTCTCTGGGCTTCCATTCTGCCTTGCAGAAAGCACTCTGACTTGTCATTGTAGCTTTGTGTGTGTGTGTTTCTCCTCTTGGATCTGTCCTCTGGGACAGAGCAGCCAGACAGAAAATGGAATGAAGGTGGCACTGGGCCTGTGGTCATCTTCTATATGCTTTATAAACTTATCACACAATCTTTTCATTTCTTTGTGGGAGGTGATTCTTGAAACTTCGCTTATGGCCATCTGCATGGGTCCATTAGGCTATTCATGGGACTTTGATGCCACAAATATTTTTCAGCTTCTGGTATGTAGCAGCACTGTATTTAGTAATATGGACATTATAAGAGGGAGAGAAGACATGACCTCTGCCATCCAGTTGCAGAGATGAGATTTACCACATGGGATGTAACTGGTGACTGAAGACAGTACATTTGAATACTTGATCATATAACACATGCAAATTCTTCGGTAGGACATACAAGGACGTTTTGGCATCTGATTTGAGACCACTTTTCCAACTTTATCTGCTACCCTCCTGGAGACCCCAGGCATACTGATATGGTTTGCAGTTCTCTGAACCTACCATGCTTTAAGTGCCTCTGCTCCCTTGTACATCCCATTCCTTTTGCCCAGAATGACAACTTCTGCTCATCTTTTGTAACCATCTTCAATGCTGCTTCTGTTAGACCTTTTTCTTTGTGTTTTCATGGCCTTTGTACATTTTTCTATAGTGTGACCCTTATATTGTCTATAAATCAGTTTTGTAAGTCTGATGTGTCTGTTAAACATTGAGCTGCTTGAGGGCAAGGCCTGTGTCTCAGTGATGGAAAAATGAAGGACAGAATTAAAACTGGATACATACAAAGGAGGGTGGGTTATGTTCTGACATGGCTGGTGGTCAGGAATCACACTTGACTGCAAAGATAGAGATCTAAACAAAGGGGCTCATTCTCTCCTGTGAAACAACTTTAGAGGTAGGTAGCCAAGTGCTGGTGCAAGGGTGCTGCTGTGTCATTAGGAGCCCAGGCTCTGCTGCTCTGCTCAGCCACCTTCATGCATGGCTTCCCTCTCCAAGCTAACTTCCTGGCTCTAAATGGCTGCTAGAGCTACAGCCACTTCATCCATTCCAAATGAGAGGAAAGAGAATGGCTGTGAGGAAAGAACAAAGTTCTGTGAAGGTAGCCTCCTTTAAAAACATGGCTCAGGGCCACACCTAGCAGCTCCACTTTCATCCCATAGGCCAGGATTTAGTCACATGAGCACCTCTAGCTGAATTTAAGAGATAAGTATATGGTGGTAAATACAGGTCTGGGCACCTGGGTGGTGCAGTTGGTTAAGTGTCCAACTCTTGGTTTCAGCTCAGGTTTCAATTTCAGGGTCATGGGATCAAGCCCTGTGTCTGGCTCTGCCCAGTGTGGAGTCAGCTTGAGTTTCTCTCTCCCTTTCCCTCTGCCCCATTACCCCTACTGTCTGAAATAAATCTTTAAAAAAATGCAGGTAAATATGTTATAAATATAATAAATATTTATGTTGATTATATTTATTATAGCACTTACATAATTAAATGTAAATGTAAGTAAATACATGATAATAACTATTTAATTTAAAATGACATTTCTTAAAAAAAAAAAAAAACAGCTTTTAGAACCATAGTCTTTTCTCCAAAGGTGGTACAAATTGCTCCATAAAACCATGAAAGAATGCTCACGTTCATTAGTCATTAAGGAAATATAAATAAAAATCATGACGAGATACCACTTCACACCCTCTAGAATGGCTCTAGAATCAGAAAGACCTATAATAACAAGTGTTCACAAGGACATGGAGGAATTAGAAGCCTCCTACATTGCTGGGGGGACTATAAAACGGTATAGCCCCTTTGGAAACCAATCTGACAGTCCCTCAAAAAATTAAGCACTGAGTTACCACACGACCCAGCTATTCCATTCCTAGTGTACAGCCAAAGAATCGTGGTGAGGATGTCTGTCCACACAAAAACTTTTACAGGAATGTTCACAGTATTACTATTCATAATAGCCCCAAAGTGGAAGCAACCAAATTGTCCATCAAATAATGAATGGATCAACAAATTGTGGTATAGCCACATAATGGGATATTTTTCTGCCATAAAAATGAATGATGTAACTGACACATGCTCAACATGGATGAACCTCGGAAATACGCTGAGTGAAAGAAGCCAGTCACAAAAGACAACATAGTGTATGATTTCATTTATATGGAATGCCCAGAACAGGCAAATCTATAGAGACAGAAACTAGATTAGTGGGTGCCTAGGAGTGAGGAGGAATGTGGAGTGACTGCTAATGAATTTCTTTTGGGGGTGATGAAAATGTTCTAAAATTAGTGGTGTCGGTTGCACAACTTTGAATATACTAAAAACCATTGTACACTTTAAAAGGGGCACATTGTGTGAATTATATGTGTGAATTATATCTCAATAAAACTGCTTTAGAAAGCTTTTATCTGTTTGGAAGACATATCTTCATAATTGACCTCAAAAGAAATGAACTGGTAGGGGGTGCGATGGGGAGGATTTCCTCAGACCAGTTAACATTTCAAGGACTGTATTTGTCTTCTCTTCATTGGAGTCCTGCCTTTAAAAAAAAACAACTGCCCTTCTTGGTCAGGGTCAGATCCCTCTGGCTGGTCGCCCAGATGACTGAGATTCTGAGTGGTTTCTTTGTTCTACAGACTTATCATTTAAAAAATGAAGTATTTTTCTGAGTCTCCAAAGCTGAGGAAAAGAGATGCTAGAGGGTCAGCAAATAGACATAGGAAGCCACTTATCTGGAAACCAGGATGTCAGAAGGGCTTGCTCTGTGGAACTCTTGTTCCTTGGAGATTTTGTTGCTGATAGATGGGCAGAGGCAGCTGAAGGGCTGTGAGGAAAGACTGTGTTTGGAAAGCTGTGCTGGGAGTCTGCACACAGGCAACTCCTGCCCGACCAGGAGTTCTGTATTGTCCTCAGGGAAATGGGAGAGATAATAATCTTATCCTGGGTGGTCACACCAGATCGTGCCTGTGAACCTACTCAGCAAATGGGAGTGGTGCACCCCAGCGGTGAACTTGGGGTGGCTCCAGAGGACGCTGTTAAAAGGTGAAAGAATGAGGATTGTCTGACAGGAGAAGAGCACCATGGACATGGTGGGGAGTGGTTGTCAGGAAGGAAGGTAGAATTGACAGTGATAAGGCTGTGGTAATAAGGATTGTCAGAAGGCTGGCCAGCAGTCCTTCCTCAGCTCTAAAGGCTGACACTATAAGACCCTCTAGTACATTCCTAGTTTGCCTTTGGGGCCACTTAAGTCAGACAGCAGGGGCAACTGGCCTACACTGCATGGGAATGTCAACAAAGGTGATTCCCTTAGGTCTGCCTTTCCTTCATGTTCTGGATTCTTTCTTTCCTTCCCTTTTTTATTTTTAAGATTTTATTTATTAATGTATTTATTTGAAAGAGCGTGCACACGCACATGAATGAGGGAGGAGGAGAGGCAGAGGGATAAGCAGACTCTGCTCTGAGAGTGGACCCTGACATAGATAGGGCTTAATCCCAGAACCCTGAGATCATGACCTGAGTTGAAACCAAGAGTCAGATGCTTAACTGACTGAGCCACCCAAACATCCCAGTGTTCTGGATTCTTGAGCACCTTTTGCAGAGTCTCATGTTCTCACAAAGCCCCTCAGGAACTAAAAGAAATAAATCATCATTTTTGTGTAATGCGAGACCAAGAAGTGACCTTACATTTTTGTCAGTGTAGTGATATATTACTAAAGAATGTCCTTACAGGGCTCATTTTGATCAGATAAATGAAACCTTCAGATCTGATTACAAAACCCTTGAAGTCTATTTGTGGATTTTCCCAGCCATTTTTGTGCTTATTAAACTGTGCTTCATACTCCTTCTCTTCAACCAGTGGTCTATTTTTTATATATATTTTATATATATATATATATATATATATATATATATATATATATATATATATATATATTCTTAAGAAGACAAGAACAAAACACAGTCTAGGAATATGGCAGGGTAAAAACCACCAGAATACCTAATGGTGTTCAGCTGACTCAGACATGATTATGCTTTCTGCTAACCCACATATGTCTACTTGATGAGCACTCAGAGCCCTCGAGAAGTTCTATTAGAATGGGAAAATATTTATTATATAGTTCATTGATTTTAAGGTACGTGTTTTTTCCATTTTAACATCTCTTAAATTGTGATATCTCTTACAGTCAATGGCATCTTACATTGATTTTTTTTCTATCTTGTAAGTTGATGAATCTTACAATCAATTACATCAAACCTTGATTTGATGAAATGTGGCAAATATTAGTCATTGAATTGAGAGAATTTATATTCTCCTCATTCTTTCCCGTCTGCCTTTGGATGTACATGCTGAATAATCGCATGCCCATCCTTGCATTGCCACCAGGAACTACCACATCACCGTTTTCCAGAGAGCCAATAAAACATCTTTTTTGTGTTTGCAGGTTTTAATTCATAGACCACAAGCAGATCTTCCACCCCCAGGTCTCTGACTATAAAAGGTACAGTGGAACCTTTCTCCTTTCCATTCTTGCAGCACCCCAGGGTTCCTCCTAGAGGTACTCAGTTTGTATCACTGTACCTGGAACCATTTCTGGAATCCGGTTATCTCCAAGGCTCTTTCCAAAGTAACCCACTAACGTGGGTTCATCTGATGTTGTCTCTGGGAAGAAAAAGGAGGAGGGACATCCCTTTGCCTTCCTGTGTGAGGAGGAGTCTTATTCTTCCTGGATAGGACCTGCTGGCTCAATGACCTATAAAGGCCGTTTCATCACTTCCATTCTGTCTGTCTCCAAGTCTTCACCCTAGGTAAGAGCTGTCCCTTTTGTTTTCCTCTCAAGGGGCTCTGACTTTCTACAGCTGCAGGTCCATCTGGTCTGAGATGGACAGTATTACCTAGCAGGATGCATACTGTACCAACATGACTGACATCAAGAGCAACCGAGAATTGTACCAGCAGTACACAGCCTCGGCTCCCAGGCTGCTGGCCCGCATCTCCAGACTGCTCATCAGTTGCCGGAACGCAGGCATTTCTGTACCTAAGGGCATCAGGAACATCTTTGAGTTCACTTGGGAAGAACTCACTGCTGACCCCATGTTGCCTACCCCATCCAACATCGTGGGCCTAGAGATCAGCATTGGACCCCCACCCATGGTGCTCATGGAATTAACCCCCGCACAGGCCCCTGTCCAGAAGAAGCCACCACCACCACCACCATCAGCACCACCACAGCAATTGCTGCCCACATCCACTGGGTCAGCCAAGTTCACCCAGTCTCCCACCCGTGGCCATCTAGCACACTCTAGCCAGGAGACCCTGCACAGATTCCAGCAGCAGTCCATCCACCTGCTGACAGAGCTGCTCACCCTGAAGATGAAGGCCATGGTGGAGTCTGTGTCTGGTAAGGCTGGCTCACCAAATTCTTCTCCATTTTTTCTGAGTCCAGAAGGATCTGCCCAGACCAATGTGTGTGTCCACCACAGCCATCCCAGACAGGTATATAAGGATATGCTGGGGCTAGGTGGCAACCATGGGTCTGCTGTAGGAATCCAACCCCTTCCCACAACCCCCTCAGGAGTCATCCTCCCACCCCTCTCTGTTCTCCAGTTTTCCGTCCCATTTCCTCAACATTGCTGAATCCAGACTGGAAGGTAGGCTGTGGAGAACAGTGTGAGGCCAGAGGTACTGAAGAGTGAGTTTGTAGAAATGATGCAATGGTAGAAGAGAGGAAGCACCCAGGAGGAGGGGGTAAATTGAGAGGACTAATTAGTGGTTAGCAAGATCATCCATGGCAAGGGTATAACCCAAGATCAAGGAGGGGAAATAAAGCCATACCAGTAACTGAGCCTTCTAGATGTTTCTAGAGGCTTCTAGATGTTATTTTACATACTAATGGCGTCAGTACCCTGGTCTAAGGGTAAGGAAGAAAGAAGGGTAAGCAGGGGAAGAGAGCAAAATACCACCTGACAGGTTTGGAGAGGTCAAGACCTTCCATTAGGAAGACCCTTATACTTGCTTACCCTAGGAGTAGATCTTCCATCTACCCTTATTTCCTTGGCCATTTACAGAGGTCCTTTCCTGGAAGCATTGGCCCCATGTGAGAGGAAAATGAGTTGCTTCAATGATTCTTTTAGTAGGTGCCAATCCCCTGGATATCACAAGGCGCTTTGTGGAGGCCAGCCAGCTCCTCCACCTCAATGCCAAGGAGATGGCTTTTGACTATCTGATCGGCACAATGGGAAGAAGTAGCCGGAGTGTTGGACAGATGGGGAAAGGTAGGTACCCAAGCTTCAGCCATTAGCTGGAAGTTCAAATAGTGCCAATAAGAATGCAAGATAGAAAGGTCAGATCACCAGTTTAAACATTTGACATCTCCAGAAGTTGAGGTGAGTTCTCAAACAGAGAGATTCTAGAGCAACAGAGATTCTCAAATGCTGTAATTGAGTATATAAAGTGGTACAGTTCCCCTGGAGAGCAGCTTGATGGTATCTGCAAGGCGGGAGATGCTCTAGCATCTTATAGCCCAGCAATGTCTCTTCTAAGTCATTCCCTAGAGCTGTGCTTTTCAAACTATCTGTGGTGAAGGACCAATCTGTAAAATTGCCAATCTCGCGTGGATTGACCTTTTCAAAAATATGATGTCACAGTAATGTCAGATTACCACCAAGTTTTCTAAATGTTTACTCTTAATTTTCGAGCTCATCTGGTCATGGCCTGGTGTGGATTCACAGCAGTCCACTGGCCACACTTGAGAGTCACATTTGGCACACGTTGGGCAAGTTGTACCAAATGTTTATTTCAGAACTGCTTAGAATGGCAAGGAAAATAAAATTGGAAGCACTCTAAATGTCCCTCGACAGGGGAAATACAAATGATAGTCTGTTTAGACAATGGAACATAGTGAGCAGTAAAAACCAAGCGCTTGTACAGCATGGGGACTGTAGACAATAATATTGTAATAACTTCACATGGTGACAAGTGGTGACTACACTTACTGTGATGAACATTTTAAAATAAATACATTTTTAAAGTAATATTTACACCTGATGTGGGGCTCGAACTCATGACCCCAAGATTAAGAGTCACACACATCACCAATGAAGCTGGCAGGGTGCCCCCCTGGAGCATTTTGTAATGTACACAAATATCGAATCACTATATTGTATAGCTGAAACTAATATAATAGTGTATGTGAACTGTACTTCAATTAAAAAGAAAATAATTAATAAAAACCAAAATCAGAACTAAAACACAGAGATCAATATAGTTAAATCTCAACAAATAGTGTTAAGCAAGTAAAGCAAGTTTTAGAAAGATACATTTGGTATAATACTATTTAAATAAAATTTTAAAAATAAGTAACATATTGCATATGAGTACATTATGCAAAGAGTAAGTATAAAAACATGAAGGGGAATGCTAGGCGCAAAGTTGGAGGAAGTGTGCTCTGGAGAGGGGTGAAGGGGAACAGGATCTGGAAGACACAGCCATTCGGTCCTGTCTAATGTAGCTCTTAGGTGTGATGTGTGCTGACAGCCCAAGTAGTTGGAGATCCACATGTAACTTCTGACTCACCCAAAACTCAACTATTAGTAGTTGGCCAGAAGTCTTACTGATAACATCAACATGTTTGATTAACACGAACTTTGTATGTGTGTGTACCATACATTGTTTTCTTACAATAAAGTAAACTAGAGAATAGAGGATGTCATTAAGAAATACCTAAGGAATAGAAAATACATTTACAGTACTTAACCATTTTTATCAGAAAAAAATTTGAATGTAAGTGGACCCACACAGTTCAAACCCATGTTGTTCAAAGGTTCATTTTGAATGCCTAAAAGTCATGCTCACTGTTAGGAGGTTTTGTGGGGAAGCGAAAAACATTTTATCTCATCACCATTCACCCTTACCTGTAAAATCCATTCCCACCTAGCATCTCTCCCTGTCCACTGGATGTTGTCAGGATTCCCTGGATGGTCAGAGGTTCAACATCCGATAATATACATGTGCAGTACAAATAAATGGCACAGTAAAATTGCCATCCTTGGGGGGAAAATGAGCTTCATGAGGTCAGTGGAAGTGATGTTGGAAAGCTGCTCAGCTCCCACACAGAGCCTCTGATGCTGGCGCAGTGGAGCAGAACTAGTCAACTGCTGGAAACAGGAAGCTCGTCTGGGGCAGCGACCCCATGGAGAAAGGATGATTCGGTTATCAAAGTGTTAAAAATAAAAGCTGATAAAGGGAGGCACCTGGTGGCTCAGTCAGTTAAGGTTAAGCGTCTGCCTTCAGCTCAGGGCACGATCTCAGGGTTTTGGAATCAAGCCTGGAGTGTGGCTCCCTGCTCAGCAGGGAGCCTGCTTCTCCCTCTGCCTCTCCCCCTGCTTGTGCACTCTCTGTCTCTGTCTCTCGCAAATGAATAAAATTTTTTAAAAAGCTGAAAAGCCTTTGGATATTTTTGCAAAGGCAAATATGGAGGGACTTGCGTTTTATTGCTCTATTGTATTTATTTTTCAGGAAAAAAGAAAACCACCCCACCTCAAAAAAATGACAGTCATTTTTATTGCTTTAAAGAATTAGTGTGTGTTTACAATACCAATAAAATTTTGTTAAATACAAGGTAAAATAAAGTTATTTTGATAACTTTTTTTTAAGATTTTATTTATTTATTTGACAGAGAGAGATCACAAGTAGATGGAGAGGCAGGCAGAGAGAGAGAGAGAGAGAGAGAGAGAGGGAAGCAGGCTTCTCGCTGAGCAGAGAGCCCGATGCGGGACTCGATTCCAGGACCCTGAGATCATGACCTGAGCCGAAGACAGCAGCTTAACCCATTGAGCCACCCAGGCACCCGATAACTTTTTTTCGAGAGAGAGGGTGTATGTGAGCATGGGAGGAGGGGTAGAGAGAGAAGGGAAAGAGAGAATCCCAAGCAGGCTCCATGCCTACCACAGAGCCGGACTCAGGGCTTGATGTCATGATCACGAGAATCATGACCTGAGCTGAAATCAGGAGTCGGACATTAAACAGGTGCCTCTATTTTGATAACTTCTGTGTTTTTGAGCCTCAATCTTAAGTATGCTTTTTCTTTTTCCTTTTATTAAATTTTTTACATTTTTAATTTTTAAAAAGATTTTATTTATTTATTTGAGAGAGAGAGAGAGAGAACACAAGCAGGGGAAGGGGCGAGAGAGGGAGAAGCAGACTCCCTACTAAGCAGGGAGCCCGACTTCGGGCTCAATCCCAGGACTCAGATCATGACCTGAGCCAAAAGAGCCGCTTAAGTGTTTAATTTTAATTCCAGTGTAGTTAACAAAGTGTTATATTAGTTTCAGGTGTACAATATAGTGATTCAGTAATTCTATACATTACTCAGTGTTCATCATGATTAAGTGTACTGTTAATCCCCTTCACCTGTTTAATTCCCCCACTTAATCCCCGCCTCCCCTCTGGTGACCATCAGTTTGTTCTCTGTATTTAAGAATCTGTTTCTTGGGGTGCCTGGGTGGCTCAGTCATTTAAGCATCTGACTCTTGATTTTGGCTCAGGGTCATGGTATTGAGCCCTGTGTTGGGCTCCATGCTGAACAGAGAGCCTCCTTGGGGTTCTTTCTCTCCCCCTGCCACTCCCCCTGCTTATGTGCTCCTCTGCGCCAGCATCAGAGGCTCTGTGTGGGAGCTGAGCAGCTTTCCAACATCACCTCCACTGACCTCATGAAGATCATTTTCCCCCCAAGGATGGCAATTTTACTGTGCCATTTATTTGGACTGCACATGTATGGTTATCAGCATACATGGATTCCTGCACCTTGTGTTCTGTATAGAGCTTAGAGATCCATTTCATTTGAGGGGGGATACTGTCTGATGGTCTGTTGCATGGGTAGGAAAGTCCCACCCAGCCCAGCCACCCACCCTCAGACCTGCCCATGATGCCCTCCTACCTGAATAAGGTGTTCTCTCACCTTGAAAAGAAAATGGTTGTCACCATTAGCATTCTTCCTCATAAGGTGCTTGAGCGTTCTTGCAGGATCGCAGACTCTCACCAGTGATACAGTGGCTTCCTGCATCCCTTGTGGGTTGTGGTTAATCTGGTGCAGGAGAATTTTCGGAGAGCTGAGCTGAATTCTGGAGAGGCTTTGATGATTTCTGCATCCTGCTGCATTAGCAGACTGTTCCACTCTACTCACTAGGAAATCTCTCACTTTTTGGCATGAGTGTTCCAGATACTCCTCTTTAAACAAGCCTAGAGTTTGAAAAAAAAAAAAAAAGTCTAACCAATAAAATATAAATGAAAAATAAAATATAAATGAACCAAAAAATATAAATATAACCAATAAAATATATTTATAAACAAATAAAATATAAATGTGATCCATTTCTCTTAGAAAAGCACTGATCCAGGAAGGCCTTAAATTAGCCCTCGTGGGGCATTAAAAAGAAGATTCAAACCCTGTTGACTTATTTTACATGACTTCTCTTTTTCTGGACCGTCTTATTACATGAGGTAGACCAAAGCTGTAACTGGGTCTGGAGTAGTCTTCCCTTAAATCTATAGCCAGAATGCTCCCCTTGCTAAGGTAGCATGTCCTTAGTGGTAATGGTAAGCCTGTGTCCTGCCTTTTCTCCTTTCCAGTACCTACTAGTCCTGCCATGTCATGAAAGAAAACTCCTCCTTGATTTTTAGTTGATGGCAATATTATTAAGTAAAACATATATAAAAAAAGAAAGCAAATAATCTTGCTATCTTTACATAAAGCTATTTTTCATTTTTGCTGTCTCTTCTGTGGTTTTTCCATCTGTCTATCCCTGTCTCTCTCTCTCTCTCTCTCTCTCTCTTTCTCTCCAAAAGTATTTTCCTATTTCTCAGTTGCCTATACTTAGACACAGATGTTTGCCATCATGGTTATATGCTTTTAATAATTGTCATTTTAAGTGACAATTTAATGTTTATGTTCTGTAATTAACCAAATGCTTATGTTTTCAGGTTTCTTACCATTAGTATAATATGCACTGTAATATGCAACTTTGGTTTCTATTGGTTATAAAGACCAATCTCCTAGAAGAGGGATTACTGGAGCAGAAAGTCTCAGTATGTGTACATCTCTTGCTAAATACTGTTTTCTAGATGGATTTTGTCTACACCAGCATGGTTGACCAGTTTTATCCTATCTTTATCAGTGTTAGCTTTTGTTAATTTCTGCTAAAATAGAAAATACTGAAAGTTGGTCCTGATCTCAACTTTTGGATCCTAGCGAAGGTTATTTTTTGCCTGTGTGCATTATCCAGTGTGCAGTCTCTGGTTACAGTCTTTGTCTATTTAGGAGGTCATGTTTGCCATTTTCTTTATGAATTAGAGTGAATTGTAATAAATTGCTTAACATTTCCTAACAATTTCATGCCTAACCAGTGAAATGACCATATTTGGGGGAAGAATGAACAAATGATTTGATGAGGTTTTTGTAAGTGTGATCAAGATTTTCTACTAGTGGCGCACCTGGGTGGCTCAGTGGGTTAAAGCCTCTGCCTTCGGCTCAGGTCATGATCCCAGGGTCCTGGGATCGAGCCCAGCATTGGGCTCTCTGCTCAGCAGGGAGCCTGCTTCCCTTCCTCTCTCTGCCTGCCTCTCTGCCTACTTGTGATCTGTCAAATAAATAAATAAAATCTTTTAAAATTTTTTTAAAAAAAGATTTTCTACTAGCGATGGGGGTACTAATTTTTTTTAAAGTAGGCTCCATGCTAAGCATGGAGCCCAACGCAGGGCTTGAACTCATGACCCTGAGATCAAGACCTGAGCTGAGCTCAAGAGTCAGATGCTTAACTGACTGAGCCACTCAGGAGCCCCAGGGTTACTAAATTTTAATTCTCAAGTGGTCAGATATCAAATGACTCTACATGAGACAGTGTGATTCTGCAAGAGACTGATCCGTTGAAGAAGCATCTGATTTCTGTGCCTTGGATAAGGGAATGGCCCGGTGTTACTCTCTCCACCTAGTGCAGCACTTATGTCTGCATTTACCCTCGCAGTTATCCTGTCACCTCTTGTGGTTGCTGCTCCCTGCTTCCTGCACTGGTGTCATTTCTCTCTTAAGGGATATTGTAGTTGGGGGATGGGTACTGTAGAAAGGAATCTCAAAGATTTCCCTTAGTTACTCTGAGCCTCCTCATGCATTAAAGAAGTCTTTTTCTTCCAAGATCTGGTTGTTTTGTAACAACAAGGGCACTTTAGAGTACCTACTCTACCATACCACTAGAGCAGAAAGTCCGTATTACATTTTTGGTTAAAAAAAAAAAAATTGATTCATCTCCCCCTCTGATTTCCATGAGAGACTATGGACTCCAGGAATCAAACTGAGGGTTTTAGCAGGGAGCAGGGGTAAGGGATGGGTGAGACCAGTGATGAGTATTAGGGAGGACACGTATTGCATGGAGCACTGGGTGTTATATGCAAACAATGAATCATGGAACACTCCATCAAAAACCAATGATGTACTATATGGTGAGTAACATAATAAAAAATTATAAAATCAAAAAATAAAATAAAAATTGAAAAGTTGAAGAAAGAATCCCTTTGTCTTCCACTCCAGATTCCTTCATGAACACTCCAGCCATGGGAGTGAACACGCCTTACCAGCTTGTCTATGAGTCCTCCACTGGCTGTCTGAGCTTTTCCCTCTCAACTGGAAGGGAAGTCAAGAAGAAAACAGGTAACAGGGGTGCCTGGGTGGCTCAGTGGGTTAAAGCCTCTGCCTTCGGCTCAGGTCATGATCCCAGCAGGGTCCTGGGATTAAGCCCCGAGTCGGGCTCTCTGCCCCGCAGGGAGCCTGCTTCCTCCCCCTCTCTCTCTGCCTGCCTCTCTGCCTACTTGTGATTTCTCTCTCTCTCTGTAAAATAAATAAATAAAGTCTTTAAAAAAAAAAAAAA